TTTTAAATATTGATGGCGGACCATCATTTTGTAACCATTGGAGCTAATAGTCCTACTGGTGGGCATGCCTTCACAGTCCCAACTTTATCCTCCTTGTCCAGTATTTCCATCTCCTTTTGCATGTAGTTTTTTGTTTTTTGAAAGAATGAATGGGAAGAAACGTCTGCTTTTTTCAACCCTCCCATCCCCCTAACCTGTTATATTCTGTTCTCCCTGCAGGATTAATACAGATGGGACCCTGGGTATCTCTGCCTTATAGCCATGGAGGCCTGCAGTAGGCTGGCCTCATGGAGTGCCCGATGGATGGATACTAGCTAAGAATTTTTTCAGTGGGAAATGAAGTGTGCTCAGCGGGAGTCTGATGAGAAGGAGGGGGGTCTTAAGGAGATGCAGCTGGAGGGGTTGTCCATCTGGATGCTGCCGGCCTCTGGGTGCTGGGAGGTTATTCTTAGTCGTCTTTTCTTCAGTCTTTATTTTCTCTTAATCAGGGCTCTCTTGATTGTGCAATTGGCAGCCCCCATCCTTCCGTAAAGCAATGATTTTCCATATAGTAATTCTTTCCTTCTTTAGGCTTCCCAGAGTGGGTGGGCGGCTCCTTTTGTGCTCACACTTTGCACATTGCCTCCCACCCAGCTCCTCCCCTGAGTATTTTTGTGGCTGATGGAGACCTATTATGTGTGCGGGGCATTTGGCCCCGTCTCCTTGTTTGTTTGCAGCGCTTAGCCACACCACTCTCCTTGCTAATTTTTTCCTGGTAACATCTAATGGGAGGACATTTGCCGCCCTGCCTTCTGCCACTGCGTGTGTCCTGAATTCTGCCGGATTCATTTAACTGGAGCCTGAAGAGGCAGCAAAGCTGAGGGCAGGTGGCTGAACTCCAGTCTTTGGCTCCTGCGTCATCGTCACAGTCAACGCCATGCTGATGCCTCGTCTGTAGTTAACAAGCTTCCACAGTCCATTTGCAGCACAGCAGAAGCCAGCCGCCCAGGCTCAGCTGCATGGGGAGGCGGTAGGTTGTGGGCTTGATCTTGCTTTTCTGTTGTGAAATCTCCTTCCTACCTTTTCTTTTAGCCCATGCAGGGATCACACACGTCTTTAGGGGGCAGTAGCTAGTATAAAAGGGAAGATCCAACTGGAGTCAACTGTATTAAGGATTAGTAAGGACTGTGGGACCTGAATGTACACCTTGGCTAAATGGACTAAATTGTAAACATTGCTATAGTTTGGATTTTGAAAGTCCCCTACAGGCCATGCATTGAAGGCCCAGAGACTGTGAGATAGGCAGGCTCCCAAGAGACTCCGTTTGTGCCATTGGTAGGGGGTCTTCAGGAGGTGAGGCCTAATGGGAGGCCCTTTGATCATTAGGGCGGCCGCTAAAGGGGATGGAGAGACACTGGCCTCTCAATTCTGACTCGTGCTCCCATCATGATATGAAGCCTTGCTAGAGGCCCAAGGCAAAGGGAACCGCCCCATCTTGGACTACGAACCTTCGAGAACCATAAGCCCCAAACTGACTTTGTAAGTGAATTACCCTCGCTGTTTTACTGTAGTAACAGACAGCTGACCAATACAACGTTTAAAACGCAGTGAGAAGAAAACAAACCCACTGTGATATCTTTGTGGTTGTTGATGGGAAATGGAGACCATTTGCATGGTGTTCACTTTGCTTTCCCTGCATGCCAGCCACAGCACTGCCTTGGCTGTAGTAAGCATGTGGCATGGGGCAGTATATTAAAGATGAGTGAATGCTTCCATTGCTTTTGGAAGAGAGCAAGTTGTAGAAGAGTATTATAGCCCCGGCATGTATGAACCCTGGGCCAACCCATCATCTCTCCTTCCTAGTTTTCAAGGCATGGTACTCAGGGTCATTGTGGTGGTTTGAAAGAAAATGGCCTTCAAAGGGAGTGGCACTATTGGGAGGTGTGGCTTTGTTGGAGTAGGTGTGGCCTTGTTGGAGGAAGTGTGTCACTGTGGAGGTGGGCTTTGAGGTCTCATATGTACTCAAGATACTGCCCAGTGTCTTAGACCACTTCCTGTGGCTTGCAAGTCAAGATGTAGGACTCTCCTTCTCCAGCACCATGTCTGCCTCCATACCACCACGTCACACCATAAGGATAATGGACTAAACCTCGAAAATGTAAGTCACCCCAGTTAAATGTTTTTCCTTTATAAGAGTTGCTGTGGTCATGGTGTCTCTTCACAGAAATAGAAAGCCTCACTAAGACAGTCATAGTCTACCAGTGATTGTGAGAGACATGACCCCAATACCCTCATTCACATCCTGAGTCAAAGGGTTTGCTCTTTCTCTACGTCTAGCTCTCTCATCCCATTTGAAATGCTGGAAGCTGCTGCCCAAGTCTCCATGCAGGTTGAGGCACAGTGACATGGATTGACCCCAAGTTAATCTTCTTACTTGGGGCTTTGGGCTAGGAGAAGAGTTGTGGCTCATGCCTTTGAGGGAAGAAGCCTCACTTGCTGGGAAATGTGGTCCCAGGAAGATCATGGGCTTCAGACGATCATCTGCAACACCTATTCTTTCTGGAGGAAGAGAATTGGTCTAGTCTCTCCTAGGGCTAGCTGGGCTAGTGTGGGAGCAGGGCTCCATGTGCCCAACTAGAAATAAAACAGTGGTGATGAGTGGATCCCGAGCACACAGCTCTGCTCTCCAGAGCTGCTATTAGGCCCCTCCACAGCATTCATAAGATGCAAATAACCGCAGGAGGTGTGGTGAGTTGTGGAGGCCCACCAAGGTTTCCTAGGGAGATCTGAGCTTGCTTTGCCTAGCAGGGCTGCACTAGGGGATTGCTTGATCACTAGTGACCACTGTGACCAGGTGATTGGAAGGGTCTGCACTCGGCTATGCTAGGGGAAGGTCTTTTGCTCCACCCCTTGGCATTCCTATAAAAGGTCCTTTAGAAAACACTGGAGGGGCTGGTGGGTATTGATTCAGGCCCTCCTGAGGCTATCCTGTGTTTCTATGTTTCTCTCCCCTCTATCTTCCTAAATATTTCTTACTCCCCCTCCTCAAGAGTGCGGGAGGAGCTTGGAGTGGGAGTGGGCTTCCCATAGAGAAAGAGGCAGGCCTCCCACAGTGAGGATTGACAGAGATAAAGCGGGAAGACTGCTTAGAAATGGTGATTTTGTTGTTCTTGTTCTACCCCCTTACAAGACTCCCACTGTGCTGGGCGGTGGTGGCGCACGCCTTTGATCCTAGCACTTGGGAGGCAGAGGCAGGCGGGTCTCTGTGAGTTCGAGGCCAGCCTGGGCTACAGAATGAGTTCCAGGAAAGGCTCCAAAGCTACACAGAGAAACCCTGTCTCAAAAGACAAAAAAAAAAACACAAAAAACCCAAGACTCCCGCTGCTCATTTTGCTGGGACCTAAGGATGCCTTCAAATGCTGGCAGAAAGAATATGGAGACCATATTTACAGAACAAGAACCAACAGAATGCTGCCAGTTTCTCCTCTTCAGCACTTGCCATTTGCTCAGATGCCCTGGTTCCACCTTTTCTGTGCAGTTTCATACCCTCGGATGGCCCCTGGAGCTGGAATCCTGGGCGAGCTGGTTGGGACTCTGGTAGACAGGATTTGGCTCTCAAATGTGCTTATGGTGAGGTGAAACTAGGATTTCTCTCTCTCTCTAAATTTTCACTTAACTGTCATTCAGTTGGAACCTGTCTTACATTATTGTTTTCTTGTTTGTCCTCATCTGTCTTCTTGTGGGACGGAAGAATTGAAAAGTTAGATCCTTTTCCTCAGAAGCATCCTTACTGTGCCTCCTCCCTCCTGGACCTTTACAGTTCATTTTCTTCGGAGTGTTTTACATGTGCCAATGGAACAGTGCACAGTAGATATTGCCAGGACATTCAGTTATATCATGAATGTGAGGCTGGTGTGTGTGTGTGTGTGTGTGTGTGTGTGTGTGTGTGTGTGTGGTACTTTGTGTATGTGTGGTGGTTGTGCTTGCCTGTGCATGATAGCTGAGGCCAGAGGGTAAGTCTTTAGATGGCTTCCTCTATTGTTCGCCACCTTATTTTCATAAAATGGGCTCGTTCCCTGACCTGTAATTCACTGATCGCTGGGCTGGCTGGCCCTGACATCTGCCTGTCTCTGTCCCGCCCTCCCGCATTGAGGCTACAGGCATGTGCCCCCGTGCCTGGCTTTTATGTGGATGTGAAGGATCTGGAACCCAGGTCCTCAGGCTTGCTCAGCAGGCACTTTACCACTGAGCCACCTCCCTGATGTGAGGTTCTTAGTTTTCCTTCTTATTTTTAATTATGTGTGTGTGTGTGTGTGTGTGTGTGTGTGTGTGTGTGTGTGTGTGTGTGTGTGCAGGTCCCTGCAGAGAACAGAGGAAGGCAGCAGGTCCCCTGGAGCTGGAGTTCCAGGCAGCTGCAAGCCATCTGATGTGAATGCTGGGAAGCGAATCCTCTGGAAGAGATAGAAACATCTCTAACCACTGAGCCATCACTCCAGCTCCCGATCTGAGATTCTTATCAATGTGCAGAAGTAGAGTTAAGAGACTATGTGACATGCTTATGAACTCCACACGGCAGTTTTACCCCAGAGGGTTTCTGTTGAGAATAGTTGTCAGAGAGAGACGTGGTGAGGAGACAGGATGATTCTCAGTGTATCAACCTGGATAGCCTTTGGGGGTTCACGGTCTCTCTGCCTCTGTGTGTCTGTCTTCCTCCCCCCCATCTCCCTCTCTGTCTCCATTGCCGTTTCTCCCTTCTCCTCCTCCTCCAGCTCCTCCTCCTCCAGCTCCTCCTCCTCCTCCAGCTCCTCCTCCTCCTCCTCCTCCTCCTCCTCCTCTTCCTCCTCCTCCTCCTCCTCCTCCTCCTCCTCCTCCTCCTCCTCCTCCTCCTCCTCCTCCTCCTCCTCCTCCTCTTCTTCTTCTTCTTCTTCTTCTTCTTCTTCTTCTTCTTCTTCTTCCTCAATCCCCTCTTTTTCCTTTTACTTCCCCACCCGGTTAATCCTGAGGAAAAACGTGGTGGATGAAGAGCAGTGCCCAGAGCACTATAGTACCCAGAGTACACTTCAGCTTGGCTATCTCCTCTCTGAGTGGCCTTCATCCCTCTGGCTCTCAGTTTCCTTGTGCATAAAAAAGATTGGGGCTCCACCTGAGACCAAGGCACTCTAAATTTTATTGCTTGGTGGATTGTACCCTTGCCAACTTGGTCCCTGACGGGCTTTAGAGGCCAGTCACTTGGATAATTCCCAAATCGGATGGATACCTGCAGGAAAACTGGGAATCCATTGCCCCCACAGAGCAGTCCAGCTGTTGCAATGGACACTGGTGCTGCTGACTGCTTCCTGCGGAGGAGCCACCAGCCAACCCAGAGCAGGGGCTGGCCAGAGAAGCAGATGGATGCGTTGGACAGGCTAGTACGGACTCTAAACACAGCATGTGGGAAATGCCGTGTCCCTGGGAAATACCCATGTCCTGGGGAAGAGGTCACTTAGCGGTGCAGTTTAAAATTTACTCAAACTGGACTCTGAATGCTGCCCCTGCCACCAACCCTGACCTTGGGCAGGTTCCTTTGCAGCACCCCTTGTCCTCAATCTACAACTGCAGTAAGGAGCAAGGTCCCCGGGCTACCAGCACCACAGGTATCTTAGTAAATGTTAGGAGCAGTTGTGATCTTGTGTCCTTCACCCCCAGGCCTCTCAGGGGATTGGGACTGAGTATCTCCGCAGGGCTGGAAAGCCCAGGCTCCAGGCCACAGTTCCAGCCGTGGCAAGCAGCTCGGTTCTGAGATGTGCCAACTGGGATGTGATTAGATTTCTGATTGTGGAGCTTCAGCATTGTGGCCAGAACAGGAGGGCAGCAGTGTTTATGGCAAGCTGCTTGGAGCCAAACTGCCCTTTTCAAGGTCTCCCCAGCTCTTTCCTCCAGCCCCTTGTTTTTGGGTCTCGGCCAGAAGAGGGAAACAAAGCAGTATGGTGCTCCCCGTCTCCCCAATCCAGACAGAGGGGGATAGGAAGCAGGAAGAGCCCGATTGCCTCTCAGAGCATGCTATAAAACTGGCCTGCCCACCCAGAGTGGCTCTAGCTCCATCCTGGAGGCCCAAGTCTTGCTCACTCAGGCGGATCTGCCTTCTTGGCAAAGCTGGACTCGCAACTCAGGTCTGTCTCTTTTCCCCATCCTTTACTCAGACAGCTCACAAGTGCCCTGCCGGGAAGGGCGATTAAGTAGCACTAAGTGTATTTTTCCAGTGTCCACCTGATAAAAAGAAAATAAAACAAAATCAAGGAGGTCAAGGATTGAACTTTCGTTTTTTTTTCCCCCCCTCTCCCCTCAAGGGGCGAGGGGAATCACATGGCCGGGAGTAACTGATTTAGCCAAGTGGCTGCAACTCAGTTTGCTGCAGAGCCGCCCCCTCCCGGCGGGAGCGCTGACGTCACGGAAAAGCCCCGTCGCGGGGCCGCCGGGCGCGCTATAAACGGCTGCGGGCCGCGGTGGCTTTGGGAGACGGCCGTGCCAGCGGATGCCACACGGCCTCGGGCTGCGGAACCGGCATCGCAGGCGGGCAGCAGGCTCCGCAGCAGGCGGCGGGCTTTGTGCGGACCGACGGCGGACGCCCACCCCGCGGCCGGGTGCAGCCAAGTAAGGGGGCATCCCGGTGGGAGCCGCGGCGGGGAGGGGCGTTTCTGGTCGCTGAACTTTTTAAGTTGGGAAGGGAGCCCCAGGACTGTGATGTCTGTGCTGGAGGTTCTGCCATGGGAGTAAGAAGTTCAGGTGCAGAGGATGCGCTCCTGATGGGGATTCCTTAGTTCAGTCCGGAGGAGTGTCACCTTACCGATTGGGTGACCAAGCGGCCAAGTCCGCCAACCCAGGGACTGTTTTTATGACTTAAAAAGAAACCGGCTGGTTCTGGCTAGTGGCCTAGGAGTCGGGGTATGGAGTAGGGTGTGTGAGCTCAGTGCGATCCTCGCGCTCACTCGGGGCACTTGCTGAGTTAACCATGGATGCTTCTGTGTCCTCTCAGGCAGTTTTGGAAGAACAGACTGCTCTGTCGGGCAAGGAAGTCTTGCAAGGAGAACATTGTAGGAAGTTGTTGAATGTCTTTTCGCTGAGTCTTTGACCTTCTGATTTACTTCAAGAAGGTGGAACTCTGAGCTAATTAACTAAATCTTGGAGTGGACGAGATTTGTTGAGAATGAAGCACTTTTTGTGCAAGTTTGAAGTGTCCAAACGTGAGCAGCTCCGTGAGAAGGACTAGGCTCAGGGCTCCTATGTTAAACAGTATCCCTGAGCAAGGGGGCAGAGGTGAGGCATAAACCTCAAACAGAAACTGTCCCACTCCCCAGATAATGTTCTCTTCAGGCAGCTGGAGATCAACAGGGCAACTTTACTAAACATGGAAGTTCCCCCAAAGTGCCTGTCCAGTCCAACCAGGGGAGTGATGTCATTGCCACGTGTTTCCCACTGAGGCACAAAAGGCTGCAAGACGCTGGTGCGATTGAGAGCCATGTTTAGACAAGAGTGGCTAACCTGGCCAGCTGGTCCCCAGCAGCACTGACTTGTTGCTGGCGGTTAAGCCGTTGCTAGAGGCAGTGGGTTCCTTCCAGCTGCCTCTGTGCCAGCTCCCAGTGGGATTGTCAAAGCTCCTTTAAGGATGGAGGAAGGTTATAAGTATTTGGTGATGTTACTGGTGTGGCAAATGACAGCCTGCTTCAGAAGCCAGTTACTGTATGTGTGTATAGTTGAAAATTTTGCTTGCTAAGGTCTTAGGGACTGTTTCATGGGTGTTTCTTATATTAAGAGTGCTTAATTCACACCCATCAAATGGAATACCACCGATGACAGCGTTTGTGCCCCCTTGGGCCTAACTCATCCTTACTAATATCGGGATCTTGACTGCTTTGCTTCCTAGGACCCCACAATGACTCTGAATAACGTCACCATGCGCCAGGGCACTGTGGGCATGCAGCCACAGCAGCGCTGGAGCATCCCTGCTGACGGCAGGCATCTGATGGTCCAGAAGGATCCCCACCCTTGCAGCCTCCGAAACTGCCACTCCAGCACTCACGAAGACCACTGCCGACAGAGCTGGTCCTCCGACTCCACAGACTCCGTCATCTCCTCTGAGTTGGGAAACACCTACTACCGAGTGGTGCTTATAGGGGAGCAAGGGGTGGGCAAGTCCACCCTGGCCAACATCTTTGCAGGTGTACATGACAGCATGGACAGCGACTGTGAGGTCCTGGGAGGTAGGTAGCCTGGCACTGGTGGGCTTCTGTCTTGTAAGCTAAAAAACAAAAGTGGGTGGGTCATTTTTCTGCAGAGCTGGAAGCCAGGCACAATGGCACACACTTGCTGTCCCAGCACTGGGAAGGCAGAGACAGAAGGACTAGGAATTCAAGGTCATTTTCAGCTACGTAGTGAGGTTGAGGCTAGCTTGTGCTATGTGACTCTGCCGCAAAAAACAAAACAAAACAAAACAACCCCCCCCCAAAACAGTAAATCAAAACAAAATGTATCTTAAGAATTAGGAGAAAATGAGATACTTGATACTGAGTTGGGTGGCAGAGGCCAACCCCAAGTCCTGGCACAGGTCCTCAGCAGAAAAAAGAAAAGAGAAGAATATGTGTGCACAGCACCAAACTCTATTGACCTGAGCCATCAAGGGGCTTTCTGAGGTCCAGTCTGAGGGGTCCAGGGAGGCTGACCCTGACCTGGACCGTTCAGTGCAGGTACCTTTTCTGTGAGTATGCATAAAACCAAACTGATTTCGGGAAAACGAAACACCTGTTAGAGTGCACCAATTAGCTTGTGTCCACTAACATTAGAAGCATTTGCAAGAGTAACTAGGTCAAATGCTGAACTTGCTGTAATAGAATTTTAAAAAATTGAAATATAAAAATGATGAAAAATGCCCTGTGTAGCGTCTGAGAGGTTTTCCACGGGATTTTCTCTATGTGGTCTTATTTCGAATGTTTATTGATTCAATCCTCACTTAATTCTAGACCTGGTTTATAAAAACATATATCACAACATCAGGTGCTGTATGTTTTGGGGTGGAAATTACAGCTCTAATGATTAGTTATTTTTGTACCGTGTCCTTCAACTAGAGCGCCACCAGCAGCACACAGACCCAGGTCAGCGACATGCCCCGTTCACAGCTGCAGAAATGGAGGAAGACTGTCCAGTGTTTGCATGTCTCACATGGTCTGTCCCCACTTTCGGTTAAATGGACGACCTCATGGCAGACTTTGGGGAGAACGAGGGTGGGAAAGATGGCTTAGTGGTGACTCATTTCTCTCTATGCAACTTGTTCGAACTCTACTCCTCACTACAATGGCCCGCTTCATCCAAACATTTCATGGTCCTTGGTTGTCTGGGTGTGAGGAAGTTCACTGCTTCAAGAGGCAGCTCAGGGACAGGCCGTGAAGGATGACTCAGGGATGTAGCATCCATTTCTCTCCTCACTTCCAGAATCTCAGGGACTATAGCTAAGCAAGAGTCAAGGGAGAAGCAGGGCTGGTGTGCAGTTGTTTTGCTCTTAGTACAGGCCGGTGGGTTCTAGAAGGCAGCAAAGGAGGATGGAGCTGATATTCAGAATGGGCATTTGCGGTGGGAGGGGCCTCTGAGGAGTGCCTTCTGTTTGCTGGTGTTTACCTCGGTCCTCACGGAATTTGTATGCCCATGCATGAATGGAGTCTTGGAGAGAGTGAGTGGCAGATGGAGAATCACCCATTTGGGGAAGCTGGGTGTGGAGGCTGGGGTTTTATAGTTTATGTCAGTGCTTTTTTACTCATTCTACCATGTGTGGGGCCATGCCATGTGGTGGCACTGTGCTAGGCATTTCACACGTGCTTTTGGCAGTTCAGACAAGGACAGAACTAATACGGTGTTAGCATCCCCACTTCACAGGTGTTAGGATGGAGGCTTACAGAGTTAAGTGACTCCTAGGGCTTGGATTCAAACCCACTGTGGTTTAACTAAAAACCCACATTCTTTCACTGTCCTCTGCAGGCCTAGGATTTAATGTCCCAGGTGCTGTTAAGTATATAACACGTGGGATGACCCTGTGCAGGCTTTGGGTACCCAGTGATGGCCAAGGGTTGTGAAGCTAAGTGCCAGTGGCTGTGATTTAGAGCAAGTACTGGGAAAGCAGTAATAAATTGCTCTGAGGGCTGATATAAGGGAGGGATTGCCTAAGCATTGTTGTTTTATTTCTTTAAAGAGGGGGGAGTTGAAAAGTTAATGGATAATACGCTTCTAAATGTGCTTGCCTATTTGCAGAGGCGGTATCTATGCAGAGGGTAATATCCAATAGGCACAGAGGGATAGGACTGATTTGCAACTGGAATTGGGAAAAATGGGAAACGTTTTTGGAGAGAGGAGAAGGGCTTTTCCTTAACTGCCTACTCAACTGAGCATCTGATAATGAGAAGCTTCTCAGTGACGATTCACCCCATCTTACTTCTAATTGAGTAGCTTAATTCATTTGGTCTAGACGTGCACCCTCATTCACCTTGACTTGTTAGCTCTGTGTTTCCCCAGAGGGAGGTTTTCCCAGGCACACCCATGCACAGTTCTCTTCTTTTCTTTTCAGCATTAACCAGGGGACGTACATGATAGTCTCCCCATCATTTCTCCTAATAAAGATGGATGCTATTCCAGCCTATTGCAATAGTCTTACGGTTCTCTGTGCATATCTAATTCCATCTGTACATCCACCCATTCATCCATTCATCGACTCATTCACTATAAACAGTTACTTAACATGTACCGCAGCACATGGTGAGGCACAGTGGAAGTGGAAGCTACGTGCAGAGCCCCGGAGCTTCCTCTTAGCAGTCTTACGATGTGCAATGGAGGTCAGACATACACCAACTGGAAAGCAAGCCAGGATGTGACATTATCTTGAGTTACATGGAGAAAGTGGAATTTGTCTGTGGAAATCAGAAAAGGCTTGGTGGAAGAGGAGCTCTCTGAGCTGACCTTAAAGACAACTAGGATTTAGAAGCCCTGTGCTAGGTGAGAAGATACTCACAGTACACAGGGAGCTCTGGATTTGGAATGGAAGGAGTGGGTGTAGATTCCCCCACCCCTAGGTGACACAGACTTTAGCTAAGTGCTCTTGGGCCGGCTTCCTCACCTCAGGAAGGTTCCTCAGTGGTATAATTGGGGAGATACTCCTAGGGTGGTGGTACGGGGACTAAGGAAAGAGCAGTGAGCATGTAGCCCAACGCTGGCCTGTAGTACACACAGAATAAACATTGTTTACAGCTGACTCTGCATCTCCACTGCTCTGTGTTCCTGTAGTCTGTTTGTAGCTTCAGATCCCATGGCCAGAAAACTGAGCCTTAGGGACTTACATCGTCTAGAGTCACGTGGGTAGGAACGGGTAGCTCCCAGATTTGAATTCAGGTTTGTGTGTGCCCACAACACCATGGCATTTGCTGCTCATTGGTTTAGTGCACAGGTTTATACTGAGCGTATACAATGGGCCAGATACGTTATGGGCCGGAGGGGGCACGAAAACAAGGCAGGTGCAAATCTCTGCCGTAGGGAAATACCCGGGGGCAGGGGGAGGGGAGAGAAGCTAGCACAGGGTGGACAGAGAGTATGGGCATGTGTTGCATGCTAGGTGAGATGCCTGAGAGTATCGGCATGTGTTGCATGCTAGGTGAGATGCCAGTGATGCAGCGATGCATAGAGAGGAAAAGAAGTTCAGATTTTAAACTCACACCCAGAAAGCACCCCCTTAGTGGGGACAAGCCTTACAGATAGCTAAAGAAACAGACTTAGACACAAGGACCCAAAAGAGATAAATTGTTATGAAAGCTATAGTTTTCAAAAGTTGGGATTAAAAACAGGAAACCCAGAGCAGGCATGGGGTCGTTGTACAGCGCTGATGGGAAATCCTCTCATAGAAACCCTAGGATGGCTCACCCCTCCAACCCTGGCAGCGTTTTTTTTCCAGGAGCTCCTCTGGCTCTTGACTGCTCTCACCCTTCACCTGCAGCCAATGCAGGCCCAAGTTCAGAGAGAGAGTTTCCATTACCAAGGGAAGCTGCTGTTGTACTTCAAATGAAAACACAAGCTGTCTTACGTTAGGGAACGCGTTATGTATTTATTTTTTAAAATGAAGAAGCCAGGTGTCATGGCACATTCCTGTTATCCCAGCACCCAGGAAGTGACTTCCAGGCCAGCCTGTAAGTTCTAGGCTGGCCACAACTACTGGTAAGAACCCATCTCAACATGCTACAGCAAAACAAATGGGCCGGAGGGTTAAAGAAGATGATGGTCCAGTTAGGGACAGTCTCCAAATATGTTTTCCTTGTGTTTCTACAAAGAGGAGAAACATTGCTAAGCTCAGAGTCCCTGAAGTTTCTACTGAATGAATGTTCAGGGACCACCCACTGAAACACACAATGGATTTCCCACAAGGCCTATGAGAATAGAGCTTACAGTTAAAACATCCCATAATGGAGCTTATCCTTAATACTTTCTCATAGCTTCATCCATTGGATTAGGGTCAAAAGTTCTTAGGGAGTTTATCCTTATAAATGGTTTTCCTCCAAAAAGGCTCAATAATGATGAAAGCAATTTCCCTTTAGTTCAAGTAATTTAGTCATCCACATACAAAACCTGTGGAAGATCTCTTAGTAGGATGGGAGGACTGTGTGCCACACGCTGAAGGAAAGCAATAGTGTGTGTGTGTGTGTGTGTGTGTGTGTGTGTGTGTGTGTGTGTGCGCGTGCACATGTGTGTGTGTGTGTGTGTGTGTGTGCGGATGTGTGTGTGTGCGCATGTGTGCATGCAGATACGCAGAGAGGTCAGAGGTCATTGAGCCATCTTTCTAGCCCTTACAATAGTAATTTATTTTTGTAAATGTTTTGTATATTTACATTATTTGTTGTATATGCACTAAGTACATTCTCTGTCTGTCTGTCTACCTTTCTCTCTCTCACTATGTGTGTGTATGTATGGGAGGTACCTGTTCATGTGAGAGCATGTATGTATGGATATGTATGCATATGCTCATTGGTGCTGGAAGTCAGTCTCAGGGGTGGTTCTTCTAAAAACATCACCTTGTTTTGTGAGACTGAACCTCTGGTCTAGCTGAGTTGGCTCGGCTCACTGAGCAGCGGACCCTAGGGATATGTCTGCTTCTGCCTCCCCAAAGCAAGGGTTACAGGTGCTGACCACCGTGCTGGGCTTTTCACGTGGGTTCTGAGGACTGAACTCAGGTTCCTGTGCTTGCCCAGTCAGCACTATATTGACTGAGAGCTGCCTCCACAGCCTCCATGGAGTGTAGTTTCTAGTGTGAATTTGACAGGAGCCTCTTGTGCCAAAGTAATTCTTATTCACCTGACTCTGATATCAATGTTCTTTCTTTTCTAGAAGATACATATGAGCGCACCCTGTTCGTTGATGGAGAGAGTGCAACCATTATCCTCCTGGACATGTGGGAAAATAAGGTATGCAGGGCCTGTCACTGTCAGGGTATTCTTTTAGGGCTTGCCTTTCAGCAGGCTGCTTGGTGCCAGAGTGACCTTGTCCTACATAGTGGATGTTCCAGACGAGGCGGGCTCATTTTCTTGATTAAAAGCGTTTACTTCTGAAGAACGAGACTGTGCCGAGGAACAGGTCGTTCACAGATGAGCCCTAAAGACCAAACAGATTGCAGTGGTTTGCCCTGATTCTATTAAAAACCACAAGGAGCATATTTGTGTTAGGGAAAGTTCAAATGAGCATGGCCGCTTGTTTTCAGTGACACCAAACCGCCTTGTGTGAAGCCTGGCCTTCTTAGCACTGCATCCCAGCAGGCTGTGGGCAGGCTTTAGGCCTCCCCGCATATACCCAAGATCATTTGTTTATTGAGAAGCCTCCTGTTCTCACAAAAGGGTTCTTAACTCCACCCCTTGGGGAAAACAAAAGGAAACTTTTAGGGAGTCAGAAAAGGCCTGTTTTTGGCAGGTTAGATTGAAATTGGAAATACTTCTTGTCAAAGTCGTTATGCATCATATCAGCTCAAGCTGTAGTGATAATTGGAAAGCAAGTCCCTAGACATCTTGGAGGACCAATGCATTTTGAGGTGTTGGAAGCAGTTTTCTTCCTTTCTCTTAGTTGGGATAGACGTACAGTTGTTTGCAAAACGACATCTCAATGTTCAGGCTAGCCTGAGCTCATGGAAGGTTTTCTTATTCCATTAGGGGGAGAATGAATGGCTTCAGGACCACTGCATGCAGGTTGGGGATGCCTACCTCATCGTCTACTCCATCACAGACCGAGCGAGCTTTGAGAAGGCCTCTGAACTAAGGATCCAGCTCCGCAGGGCCCGGCAGACGGAAGACATTCCTATCATTTTGGTTGGCAACAAAAGTGACTTAGTGCGGTGCCGAGAAGTGTCTGTGTCAGGTGAGAGGGTGTGCGGTCCTGGGTACCACCCTTGCACGCACACACTGGCCTCCAGGCAGGTTCTCTTCCCCTCCCCCCTGCAAGGCTGCAACGGGGGCTCAGTGGGACGCTCCGTGGAGTTTCATGTCGAAGACTCCCATGGTTCCCAGCATTTGTAGTAGTCATTTCTTGTTCTCCTCCTCATCCTCTGGTCTACCTGAAGGGTTCCAGGCTCCCCACTGCCCTTCGGGTGTTCTCCCGGAGTTACTTTAGGGACGAGAGCATCCTCAGGAATTTACTGGCAGTCCTAACTTTTGCTCCTTATCCTTCCCTTCTCAAGCAGATCCCAAGTTCAGGGGAGGAAAAGCGCACATTAATGCATTGACAGGGAGCTCTGGGTTGGGAGACAAAAGAAAAGCGATGTGCTCAGGTTGTTACTCCATCTAATACTCTCTAACCCCAGGCCCTCCTTCCTAAACCTCTATGAGGGCATCAGACTGATGGACCACACATGCTTCTTCGTCCTTGTTCAAGGAAAATTCCTAGTTGATGAGTGTGCTTCCGTATTCTTTTTAGGGCCCTCGAGATTGTATTGGCTTAATGTAGATTTAGTACAGCCCTAAAAATAAAACATGGCATTTTCAGTCCCTGCTAAGACAATTTTTCCAACCAGTTGGATTGTCTTGCTAGTACACAACAGTGCTCAGTGTTTAGATCTCTTCAAACTGAACTTTGGACACATGGTTTTTAAACACAATGGAGTATTTGAAATTGAGAGTTTTAGAAAAGCTTATGCAGTTTTAGAAAAGTTTGATGTAACTGTATTATATATTTATAAAATAATTTTTTCCTCAAATGATCTCATCATACCTTTTTATTTTTATTTTTTAAAGAGGAAAGCTAAGTAGTAGAATTAGAATTACAGTTTTCGGCCAAGGAAACTGAGTCAGGAGAAAGAGTGTAAGCTTGAGTTTGGAGCAGGCTGGGCTTTCTGTGTCTTGTCAGCTGTGTGAGTTCCTTCATGGTTTTAAAAAGCCTCACCTAGTTTCTTCATCTATGTGATGAGGATAACGGCATATTTTTCAAGATTGTCATGAGCAGTGAAAAGCGTCTGGAAGGAGCTTGGCCTGGTTTTGTGAACGTAGCAAACCTTTAGAAGGTGTGGGCTCTGGCTTTTGCTGTTGTAGTTAGTATTACTGCGTTTGATGGAATTGCACTCTCACATAGCGAATTTGCAGTGAGCCGGATCTGGCTGGCTTCCTGGGATCCTCTCATGGTCTATTTCTACTCTTACCCTGGGGAGGATGCGTGCTTTAGCGCCTCTCTGTACCTGCACTGTAGTCTACTGCTCTATGTCATCCTAGTGGGGTTTTAGAGAAGTGTCCTCCAGCTCCGCCACGTCATGCAGGATCATACTCTGACTTCCTTCTCTCCTTCTTCTTTCCAGAAGGGAGAGCTTGCGCCGTGGTGTTTGACTGCAAATTCATTGAGACTTCTGCGGCCGTGCAGCACAACGTGAAGGAACTGTTTGAAGGCATCGTGCGGCAGGTCCGCCTGCGCCGAGACAGCAAGGAGAAGAATGAGAGGAGGCTGGCCTACCAGAAGAGGCGGGAGAGCATCCCCCGGAAAGCCCGGCGCTTCTGGGGCAAGATTGTGGCCAAGAACAACAAGAACATGGCCTTCAAGCTCAAGTCAAAATCCTGCCATGACCTCTCTGTGCTCTAGGCAGCCAGTGTCACCAGATGTCTCCCTGATGGACATCGCTGAAGGCCTTTGGGACCAGTGATCTATATTAGATTGAATACATAGCATTGTGAGCAGCGGCTTCCCCCTTGCAGATGGGGACCAGCAGGTTAGCCTCCTGGGCAACCACATGCCCAGACAAGGAGAGATCTTTGTCGAGAGTCAGTATTTATTCAGAGGAGTAGCTTGACCTGCTACATGGACGCCTGAGACTCACTTAAGGGCATGTTTGGGGTTCACATGGGTTTTTTCCTCTTCTTTGGGCAGCAGAATATTGAAGCTTATGAAGAATACCTAGAACAGGAGTGTCTCCTCATTGGGGTTTTGCCCAGTTTTGTTCTATGTGGATTTGACGCCCGTGAGTCATAAAGCAATCTAGGGAACTGGTGGCAGTTTATCGGAAGGAGGAGGGCTTTCTGCATACCTCACTCCCTGAAATGACAGGTGTAGGGCTGGCCCCATCATAGTCGGGACACTTACTGCTCCATCCCACTGTGAAGGGACGTGCTGGCATTTGCTGGAAACTAAGGCTTACTAACAGTTTTTGTTTAAAGACCACAGAGATTTGTAGACTAAGAGGTGATAGATGTAGCACTTATAGGTTCAAAAAAATTGTTTACTTATGTGTCTAACAAGTGTTTATTTTGAGGAAACTATTTTCGTCAAATTCTACTTAGTTAAATCTTCTTTTATGTTTTGTTGTTTTTGAAATCATGGAGCTATCATAAAATGTTTTTTAAAAATCTCAACTATTGGTAACCTGGAGTGCAAAATGATTGCACTTTAAATATAATCCAAGGTTTTTTCCCCCAAAGCATAAAAAGGTCTCATCCTTTGGGTTGATCCTTGTATGCCACAGCTGTGTTCTATTTATTATTATTTTGCAAATAGCCATTTTAACATTTGATAAAACATATTTATGAACATATTTCTTACTGAGAAAAATGTCTGTTTTATTATCTTTTTTATCTTTTTCAAAATATGCAAGTTTTTACCTATATGTCTTATAATAAAATAAATAAAATCTGTGAAAAAGAAGGCATTCCGTTTTCCTCTCCAAAGGAGGTAAGCGTGCTTATTTTCTCTGGCTTTTAGAACAAGCTGTGTTCCTAAGGGACAGTGACATCCTTCTGTCATTAGTGGTGGCTCAGTCCTCAGCTGTTTTTTTCTGAAGCCCTGACTTCTATCCTTTGGAATCATGGTTCACAGTAAAGAAGGGATATTTTTGGCTGATTGAGTTGGGAAGTATTTGGGGTCATATAAAGCTGAGCTATAATCAAAGCCGATTGACCTTCCACTTTGGGCCTGGAAAATTCCTGATGGAACAGATGGACCTAGCTTTGTCCCTTGAGGGCTCATGGTCTTAGGCCTACCTAAAGCATGGGGATTAAAAACTCTCTCTCTCTTTCTCTCTCTCTCTCTCTCTCTCTCTCTCTCTCTCTCTCTCTCTCTCTCTCGTGTGTGTGTGTGTGTGTGTGTGTGTGTGTGTGTGTGTGTGTGTGTGTGTTAGCTGAGGGGAGTGGGGATTAGTGATTTCCAGCCTGACATCTAGCCAGGCAAAGCTTCAACCATTTGCCCTCTCCTCCACTGATGTGGCTTGACCTGACGCCCAGGGCACCTCTGCAAGGGCAACGTGTGACCTTTGTTGGAATAGAACCTGCTGGTGTTCGTTTTCTGGCTCCCCCTAAAGCCGCCTTCCCTTTCACCCCACTATCTTTCTGAGGTGCAGATACCCCAATAGTGACACACCCACATGATCTCCCGAATCTCCTCACGCTTCCTCAGTTTTCAAAGGTGGCTGCCATGTCCTGTTTGGCACTGCTTTTCCAAGTTGAGGGCGAAGGGTCCACGCCTATCCACTTCATATCTTTGAATTGCTCTTAAAACTGCCCAGGGAGCTGACAGGAAAAGTCAGGCCGCATAGGCCTGGGATGAACTTTGGCCCTACCTGTCCTTGAGCCAGAGTGTGTCTCTGGGTTGACAAGTCAACGTCTCTGGTTTTCCCACCTGTGAAACGGCCTTACTAAGGACACCTTCCTCATGAGGTGGCTGTCAGAGTGACTGACATCTGTTCTTGCTGTGCAGTGAGGGGCTCTGGAAATGTTAGTTCTCCTCACTCCTTGTGTGCATCCTTTTGTGAAGCTTAGAACCGGCTTGAGTCTGCTTCTCCCAGTTCAGATAGAAACGCCTTCAAGTCGGAGACGACCAGGCCTTTCATTTCCCCTGACACCTCTGCTTTTCAGTAGAGCGCCTTGCACCGGGACTTTCATGGGTGTTTCTTCTTGAATTTCACAAGTCTTGGTGGCTCTATGAGGGAGACAGAGTTCCTCACAGCACACTCACACATACAACATACATGGCCTAGTATACACACTGTGAACACATAGCATACACACCATGCAGACGAACTGCAAACACAGCACACACACTACAAACATGCATTTTCATGTTAATTTTTCTCTGTTTTAATACTCACCAGGCAGTGGTGGCACATGCTTTAAGCCCAGCACTCGGGAGGCAGAGGCAGGCGAATCTCTGAGTTTGAGGCCAGCCTGGTCTACAGAGTGAGTTCCAAGACAGCCAGGGCTACACAGAGAAACCCTGTCTAGAAAAACCAAAACCAAACCAAAACAAACAACAACAAAAACAACTCAGCTTCCTCAACTGTTTCCGAAGCCCCTCTCCTTCCCTCAGTGGCCAGCTATGACAGACCTCCAGCCTCAGCGCTGTGATCCGTGTTGTCTGCAGGTTCAGCTTGACCCAGGCCCGAGACCACAAGCTGCACTACACCAGAGAGCTTTTGGTTAAGTGCTTTGGCTCCTGATCAGACAGACCTGGGTTTTGGCACACTAGGTACCGCCAGAGTGACATCTCTATTTTCTCCCAGCCTCTTTTTCCCATCTGTAGAGTCAGGAGAACAAAATGCCTTATGGGACTTGACGAGACCGGTGCTACTTCCCGGGAGAGCTGTGACCCCTTCCTGCGGTGCAGCATGGGTCCCTCCTCTCCCTCCTGCTCCCTTTAACCTTACCACACACACACCCAGGCACTGCTGGGTGCTGGGGACATTATGATGACTAAGACACTGTCCGTGTCCTCAGAAACCTCATTAGCAGTAAATCCGATTGTCCCCAATTAATGAAGAAGGCATCATTGGAAAAGGAAGAAAACAAAACAAAATATGAAGAGTATTATACTAGGGAGGGATTGTGTTTGCTTCCCCAAGGTAAAATTCAAATGAGAGAAACATCATAAAAATGATTTGATTAGATGTGAAAGAGAAAGCTGGGCTTCACCATTTACCTTCAAGGGTAGTGGGGCATTGGAGAAAGCTGAGTTTCCAGTCCAGTCTTGCTGACTAACCCATGGGCTATTACATGCGGGAAAGGAGGCAGGCTATGAGACATTTACTTGGGAGACTGAGGCAGGAGCAGCATGAGTTTGAGACAAACCTGGGCTGCAGATCCAGAGCCAGAGCCAGTAAAAATAAATAACTCTGCTATACTTAGGGATCCAGCTGTGCAAGGGACTGGGTGGCGGGGAGACCCAGGGCGGGACAAAGCAGCTTGCCTTCAGGAAGATTATGGTAGGGGTTATCATGGCAGGGGTAGCCATAGTGTTGATGAAGACAATTATACAAGAACCCGGAGTGTGATGTGGACGATAGTAACATGTGTGAGACGGGAGTGAGGGAGACGGAGATGGAGAGAGACAGAGACACAGACACAGAGAGACAGACAGACAGACAGAGACAGAGAGATAGACACGCACACATACACAGACACACACATACAGAGACAGACACGCAGCCAGAAACAGACAGACAGACACACACATATACATACATACACACACAGAGGGACAGAGACAGACACATACGTACAGAAACAGAAACAGAGACAGACAGACAGGCACATACAGAGACAGAAACAAAGACAGACAGACAGACACAGACACAGACATACACAGAGAGACACACAGATAGACAGAGACAGTCAGACAGACAGACACAGAAAGAGAGAGAGAAAGACAGAGAGAGAGAGAGAGAGAGAGAGAGAGAGAGAGAGAGAGAGAGAGAGAGAGAGAGAATGTGTAACAGTGATCTTGGTTCATAGAGAAATGGCCACAAAGAGGCTGAGACAATGAAGTTACATATGGAAGACTACTTGGAGCCACCAAAGCTGGAAGGGCTATGGAAGGGTTCTCCCCTAAGGACTTCTTATGAAGCGTGTCCCAAATGGCGGTGTCTAGAACTGCAACAGCACTGATTTCTGTTATTTTAGGCACTCAGCTTAGGCTACTATCAGCAGTGCTAGGAAACTAAGCACCCCAGGACATTTAGAACAAGGGTCTTAGTTGACTGAGCCTACGTCATTCACCACTCAACTCCCGGGACTATCATGAGGCCTGAATGTGAAGCCCTCATTGAGTTTCCTTATTAACTCATCTTCTAAGAGGCAGGGAGGGAGTGAGCCGTCAGATAAGATGGGGAGAAGCTTCAGGGTACATTGAGTTTCGAGCTGGGAACTCAAGTGACTAATATTTCCAGACAGGGTGTGCCCTGAAGCTGCCTCAGGACATCCCAAGGATTGAGGAAGTTGGCTGGAACTGGAAGGAAAGATCCACCTCAGGTGAGCAGCAGATGCCACTGCCTTGGACTGGAGTACTGAGTGAGGCGGTTTATGCAGAGCGGAGGGGTTAAGTCGTTAAGGCTCTCTTAGAGTGTGTGTGCACTCTCGAGAGGACACTGAGAGCACATGTGCACAGTAGAGAACACACGTGGAGTACTAGCAAAGCAGCAAGCTTGGTCCCCACAAATGCCTGGTCCCCACAAAAGCATGGAAGAGCTTGGGGCGAGACAAAGACGACTGTGAGCAGGCCGGGCGCGTGTCCGGCATGCTTTCACTGGAGTAAGGATGTGGATTACAGGTAGAGGACTGCCCAGAGGACAGTTACAGAAGACCAGGTGCCCCCAAGCCTTCAGTGACTGGCTGATCTAACCCACAGAAGCAGATAAATATGTGCAGGGCACCTGTTTTTCTGGTCAGTGGAGGGAAAACTAAATATATGCAAATCAAGGATTTAATGTTTTCCATAAAGGAATATACAGGTATACCGGTGATTCTCTCTCTCTCTCTCTCTCTCTCTCTCTCTCTCTCTCTCTCTCTCTCTGTCAGTCTTCATGATGGAGAACTGAGTACAGAGTAGCTTCACATATCAATGAGACAACTAGACTCTTATCTCACTCTACAATATTTATGTTTCAAAAATAAGGAGGCTGTCGGTAGCATAAACTGTTTCAGAATACACCAAGGACACTAGGCATCTTAAAGGCACACCCCCTTTCTGAACGTCACCTAGGCCACCATTACTCAGGGTTACTGGAGCAGTGGTCACATAAGTAAACACCAAGGTGTCCCTACATCTTTTAGTCTATCAAGAGTTTAACCTCTGGATTTACTATCAGCCTGTAAGGAAAATCACAGTGTGAGAAATACTGAGGGGTGATCCTCTAGCATCATCCACAGGCCCCATGCTGGTGTCTGACTTGGAGAAAATGGCTAGCTTTCATATGATGCTGGTGGATGTCCCTCTGGGGAAATGACCTCCAAAATTCACCAAGGAAGGGCACATGTGTGACTATCAGAAAATGGACACGGAACAGGGTGAGGAGGCATTCAACTTAAACCATCAGCTTTCATTTGGCTAAAAAACACAATCATATCTATTTGAAAGCAGTCATTTCTTTCTCCATAAACACTAGATCAGTCAAAGCAATGAGGTGGGAGTGGAAATCCTATTAAAAAAATCCAAAGGAAATTGCCGTGTGATTCATCTATTTGATTATAAGATGGAGCTGGTGGCCTGCCATAATGTGTTTCAATATTTGGAAATAGCTTGTGAGGATCTTGGATTATAGGAGGAATGATTGGGAAAATGGAGTTCTGAGCTGGGTTGGAAAAATGAGGATAAGTGAAACCAGGGCCTCAAGATATTTTTGGACAAGAA